ACGGTCCTCACTCGTGTCTTGGCTCCATCATACATGTTCTTAGTCACCCTAGTGTAAGTCACGTAACACCCCTAGCCTCCAAACACCTCCATAAGATTTCCCTCGGGACTTTGTTGTATGCTTTCTCTAGATTAACGAACACCATATATAAGTCTCTCTTCCTCTCCCTATACTGCTCCACCATACTCCTTATAAGGTGAATTGCTTCCGTAGTCGAACGTCCCGGCATGAATCTGAACTGGTTTTCGGAAATAGACACACTCTTCCTCACCCTTATCACTTCCACCACTCTCTCACCGACTTTCATAGTGTGGCTCAGCAGCTTGATACCCCTATAGTTGTTACAATTTTGGATATCTCCCTTGTTCTTATACACCGGAATCATCGTACTCTACCTCCATTCCAATACCAGGCTCACATACTAACGGCATCAAACTGTGGTATTAATTGTAAGCTGGTATTCCCATTGGGCAGTTTAGAGGTTTCATGATGTTAACTGTCTCATTCCGGATTTAATTTATATTAATTGTGCTTGGGTGAATGGCGATCATAACTCTTGTGGATGTTTAAATTTGTGACCTGACCGACTTAAGCAATTAAATTGTCTAGGCAAATGGACGTGAAAGAGATGTATTTTTCTCAGCACAACTTCCTCCATCAAGACATCCTGCTGATAAGCCACATTCCTGCAATTCAAATTCAAAAACTCCGTTGCTTCTAGTCGATTCTAATAAGAATACAGGAGAGGATGACTTTAGAGTTCCCATTTTTATTAACTCCAAGGTGGGTCGAGGAAATGGAAGGTGTTATAGTACTCCGGATGGTCAAAATCTCTCTGCCCCCACTGCTGTAATGTCAGCGCATTATGAAAAAGATTTGAACAAAGAGAACTCCAAACAGCCTGCCATAAGCAGAGAGCATTCTGCAAACTCTACCTCAATTCCGTCCATGGATAAGCCAGATGGTGTTCTGAAGCAAGCTAATGTACTATTGCATTATGAATCCAGAGATGACCCTGATAATACTTTTGGCATATTTTGTACGTCTCATCTTCTAAGACTGGAAAGCGGAGTTGATTCTCAAGTTGGTGGCACCATACTATCTGAACCTGTTAGGCTTGTTGATAATGGTGATTCTTCTCTCCCTCTGAAGGATGCTGCATCAGAAGAGCAGATAATTCCTAATAATAATCATATTAATGATACAGAATTAAAGGAAGGCAATGCATCTGAATTATTAGAAACAAGAAATGTGGACCAGGGTGCCAACTTATCAGAGACTTCCATGGTGGAATCTATATCTGGAATGTACATATCTCCTGATGATGTTGTTGGAATAATAGGGCAAAAACATTTCTGGAATGCAAGAAGAGCTATTTCCAAGTAAGTTCAACTGGTTGGTGTTGGCTTGGTGAATGATAAATGTTTGAGCTTGCCATTTGAATTTTATGTCATGTGAAACATGAGTTCTGCCATCTTTTTCGTAGTTCTACTGAAACATTCTTGCATGTGGTAACAACATTATGTGTTCTCTAAACATATGGCATGTTCTCTTGAAATATTTAGGTCTACTTTATTACTTATGTCACTTGCTATTCAGAATGATTCCAAAGGATATTTATCATTTGTTAGACATCTGTTCCTAGTTAAATTCTACTTAAATTTTACATTTCAACTGCAGTTTGTTTTATAAGAGGAACCTTGTCAGATAATGCATCTTGATAGTCTCTCCATGCCATGGTCTAGTCTTGCTACTGGGTGCAATTCAAGTGGCATGTTTAATTTAGGTGATTGTGAGTGATGTGAGCTTTGCTATTTGAATTAATGGAGGTATGTGCATGATAAGAAACTTTCCTCATTATAGTTTAGTTTCTAATTTTTGTAGTTTACTTTATCTTTTGCTTTTTTAATGCTATTGGTCTCTGTTCAATTTGAGCTTTTTCACCTTGTAGTAGGATATCTATTGGTTTCATTTTGTGTCTTCCCGAGTCTTTAACAATTTAAATTGAGGGGTCGGTGCAACAATTGGGTGGAGTCTAAAAGCTCTCAATTGGTTTAGGCACCTTTGGATGGAACAATGGCCCTTTTGAGTACTATTACCTCCTGTCTGTTTTTAATATATTTAGCCAAAAATTTGGTCCAAAATAAGTGTCATTTTAAGAAACCAAGAAAGCATAGCCTCTTGTAAAAATGCAGGGTGAGGCTGAGTACAATAGACCCTTGTGGTCCGGCTCTTCCCCAAACCCCGCACATAGCGGAAGCTTAGTGCACCAAACTGTCTTTTTTCTTTGAAAAACAATAGAGCAGTGAGAAATCAATAGATAGTTGAAGACTCAAATTGAGAGAGTTCAAGACTGATGAATATTGTAGGTGAAGACTCAATTGAGAGAGTTGATGATTCAATGAACAACAAAGTCGAAAACTCAATTGAGAGCTCAAGGCTCAAAGAATGTAAGGGTTAGATAGAGATAGTTGAAGATGCAAACAAAAAAGGTGGATTTTGGACTTAAATGTAAGGAGAATAAGCTTTTGAGGAAAAAGAATTACATAAAATAGTTAAGATTGTGTTAATATTCTATCTTCCCAACTTTTATTAAGATAATCATATAATTAACATTCTTTTGCTTGAGGTCATCTATGGTCCTTTCTTTCTTATTACTTTGGCATTGAAACTAAAGGGATGTGGATGCTAACATGGTGACTAAATTATTGTCGGGTTTTCTATCTTTTACCTTTTTTTTTATTTAAGTGTTATATCGTCCATATTGACAACGTGAAGTATAGAAAAAGATAAAGATACATAGAGTAGCATTATGACAGAAAAGGGGCATTATAATGATCATCATTTGCTCACTCTACTCGTAAGGTTAAGATAACCAAATTTGACATCTAATGACCGCTCTTTCAATGGCAATCTAGCCGAGTTAAAAAAATTCTAAATTCACACCAAAATTTTAGAGCCAATTTATCAGAGTCAATTAAACTTGACGTTTGGTAATTTAAGAAAAGCAATTAAAAACTAAAATTACAATATCAAAATTTATAATGGCAAAACAATACTAAGTGACCACATCAGAATCACTATTGCATAAACTAGGAACATTATTTAACCTAAATAACTGAGAACTTGTATCAATTTAGGATCACATTTCAGTTGAGCAAGATGCTTGGCATTTCCTGTCTAACATTGTTTTTCTAAGATTTTGAATATTGTACTTATGAGAACCTTTCGTTCGCATGATTTTTATCATGCATGATTGTAATGTTAGAAAGATATTTAAAGACTTCAATGTTGAAAAATCTTCATGTGACTTCATAATAGCAGTAACAAGCTCATCAGCAATGTTAGGTGTCTTAGTATGTTGTAAGAATTAAATAGTTCTAGAAAACTCAAGTTTTAAAAGATTCAAATTCGTAGAATTTGGTATTTGACACATTAAATGAATATCAAATCCATGTTGCATTGCTACACAACATTATTACTCATCATAATGATAAATGTGCATTCTTGCATTATGTTGCTGAATGAATGTTGGATAACTATAGTATTCACTCAGGCAGTTTTCCTTGATAGCAGGAATATCTTTTTTCAATTTAGTATGACTTTATAATATCTTTGGTATGAAGTGATTGGTATTATAGCTCGGTATTATATCCCGTGTGCCTGCAACTAGCTCTACTGGCGCTTTCAGCTTATTCTTGTGTGACAAATGAGAATACACTATTTTTTTTAGAGTAGAATTCATTTTTTGTGCATCAAACCCTTGATGAGCTACAACAGCGTAAAACATGCTATTATTATGGCCTTTTTTTAGGAGACAGTTCGTGATCTCTTAGCTTGACCTCACACAACACTTAAGACATAGAAAAGGAGGTTGGTCTAGCTCTAGTAGGGAAGAAGCGCATCAAATATGTGACTTCAAGTGATGAGATCAAGAGTTGCCTTCTAAGAAATGCCATACGAATATCATGCTTTAAGTTATTGTAGTTCGTTCGGTGTTTCATGCACAAGGAAATGAACTTTTCTCTCAAAAAATTGGTATGTTCCCATTTATCATACAAGGATGAGCTAAAAGTACCAGTATGCCAATAGAATTGTAGGTACTCTAGACAAAACTAATAGCAATAATCAAATACATTGATCATACTTATGAAAAAGTAATTCCTGCTCTCGAGGGAAAATTGCCTAAAGAAGATTATTCATTAGTAAAATAATATAAGAACACACATTTATCGTGACGATGAAGAAAATTTTGCCTAGTAGCAAAGCAAGATAGGTTTGATATTTGCTTAATGTATCAACCACCAAATTTTATAGATTTGAATATTTTAGACCTTGGATTTTTTAAAGCTATTCAATCCTTATAACATAATGAGACCTAAAATTGTTGATGAGCTTGTTACTGTGGTTATGAAGATTTTCCTACTTTGATGTTCCAATCATGCATGATAAAAATCATGCCAACAAAAAGTTTTGATAAGTACAATATTCCACATCTTAATAAAGAAATATGAGAAAGAAAAGGCTAGCTTCCTACTCAAACAAAATATGATCCTAAATTATTTAGTCTAAATTTGTTCATAATTTCGGCAATGATGGTGTGGATGTGATCACTTAGTGTTTCATTTTTAAAAAAGAAATTGATAGTGTAATTTTAATTGCTTTTTTTGAATGGTCAAACATCTAGTTTTATTGATTCTGATATGTTGGTTTTGAAATTAAGACTAATTATAGAATTTTTTTGGTTGACTTGGATTGCCATTGGAAGGGTGGGTGTCAAATTTTGTTGAGCTAATTCAACTTTACGGGTAGAATAAACATCAAAATATCTCTATGTTTCTTCTTCTTATACTATTCTCTGTAAAAATGATTGGTATAACACTCAAAGCAAAGATGCCAAAAAATTAAAACCTAACATTAACTTAATCCCACGTGCATTTAGTTTCAATACCAAAGTAACAAGAAAAAAGTAGAAAGGACCGTAAATGATCCAACCAACAAAATATGAGTAATATGATTATCTTAATAAAGTTGGGAAGATACCTTATCAAAAAAAGTTGGGAAGATAAATTCTTAACAATGATCCTAACTATATGATGTAATTCTTCTCCCTCAATAGCTTCTTCACATTCATCAAGCAGCTTGTTCAAATTAAACACACAATCATTCAAGTCTAAATTTAATCCAACTTTTTCATTTGAGTTTTCAACTATCTTTATTTGAGTCTTCAACTCTCTCAATCGAGTTTCAATATTCATTGAATCATTAACTCTCTCAATTTGGTTTCACTCTCTTAATTTGAGTCTTCAATTATCGAAATGATTTTTCACCTCTCCGTTTCTTTCAAAATATATTTTATGATAGAAGATGACAGAAGATAAAAATATTTAATTGAGATCAGTGAAACTAATATGTTGTTGGTTAATTGATAGCATAGGAAAATTGACTCTTTGTAGATTAAAAATAAGCATGGAAAGACTTTTTAGAAAATTGTATAGATTAATAATTAGAGCAAGGGTAAATTTGGAAGGAAAAAAATTAATGCCTTCTTGGTTTTTTAAAATGACCGTTATTTTGGATCATTTTTTTGGGCTTAAAAGAGTTTTAAAGTGTACCGGAGTCCGGAGGTAGTATTTCATTGAGTTTTTTTTTTCATTTTTCCTTGCCTGGGATGGTGGGGGGCAAAGTTCTGGTGGCTAGCATACTGATTCCATTTCCTTACTTCTGAAGCTCAGATTTCAACGTGTATCTCAGAATTACATAAAAATGGTTATGCTATGAAGGAAGTTAACTCCAAAGTATATTTGTGCCGTAGGAAAGGTCATCCTGTTGACAGCCTTGAATCTTTTGATTTTCATTTGGTAGAAGAGAAAACGGTGCATGTTGTGTGTGTCCCAAATCCACCGCCAGCACAACAATGAAAAAGAAAAAGAGAGAGGCCCAAGTTTTTCGACATGCAAGTCCTGGTGAAGGCCCTTGCCTAGTAGTCCTTTAAATATGGCCTTGTCTTTAAAAGCTCTACAGCCTTTGATCAGCCGGTTGGTTTTCTATTTCTGTTTTAGGTTCTCTTTTGTTCGAGCATCTTGGGGAACTGACTAGTTTATAGATGGGTGTGGATATTCATTCCCCCCTTCTTTAATCAGTATCTATTGATGTCTGTAGATTGACTTGGTGGTTCTTTCTTTTTAAAGTTGTTTTCAACTATGCACTAGTCTTATTCTTCTTACTTTTAATAAAAAAAATTTCCTTGATGCACTTAAAAGGACTAACTTCTTTCTATTTGTTATTTGTTTGCTTGACGTTGTCCCTATTGTCTTGGAACAGCCAGCAAAGAGTTTTTGCAGTTCAAGTTTTTGAGTTGCATCGGCTAATAAAGGTGAGGCAATTTTAGAGGCTAGGTTTTTCGTAGTATCAGAAATGCAATTTACATTTACTATTTTCCTGTAGCATTAAGTAATTCTGAGGCTTTTGTACCTTTTACTATAATAGGTCCAGAGACTCTAGCTGGTTCACGAAGCATGCTGGAAGATAGTGCTTATTTAGGCAAACCTGTAAAGAATTCGTCTGCTGAAAGACTTCCGTTGAAGTATATTGTCAGAGATAGTGACAATGTTTCGAAGCGGAGGAAGGATTCTGAGAAGCCTAACGGTAGGATGGAATGTTCTGCTGAAAACACGGTAGGAAAGGCTTCCTTTTCTTTGATGCAGAGCAGTAACCAGCCTTCTAGCTACAGTCCTTTTTTCAGGACACGCAATAACAAATGACTCCAGTATGATTCCTTGGTGCTTCAACCAACCATCGGGGCACCAATGGTTGATGCCAGTTATGTGTCCTGAAGGACTCGTATAGAAGCTATATCCTGGACCTGGAGTCATGAGTTCAGTTTGTGGAGGTTATGGGCCTCCAGGATTGACTCCAACGGTGGGAAATCTTTCAGCGCCAGCTTGTGGAGTTCCTGCTTCTCGTCATCACTATCAAGGGGTCGGAATACCTTTTGCACCTCCGGCTGGTCATGCCTACTTTCCTCCGAATGACATGCCAGTTATAAACCCAGCAATCTCATCTTCAGCTGTCGATCAATCAAACCAGTTTGCTGCTCAAGGTTTACAAAATCAGTTATCCGGAGGAGGGGCTAATTTTTGTGTTCAACATCAGAACTCAAGTGATGTGCCAAGAAATAAGAATGGCACTGTGCCAGATGTGAAGTCTTGTGCCTCTAGAGATGCTGAGATACTGGCCAGCACTGCAAGCAGTCCAAGTAGCAGAGCTCACAGAGTAGTCATGGATAATGCCACGGAGGGAAGAAATGTGCTTCCTCTGTTCCCAACTTCTCCAGCTATTGGCAACCCTGATAGCAGCCCCCAACCTCATGTTCCTAGTCATCCTGTCGGAGTCATCAAAGTTGTACCTCGTAATGCAAGGTCTGCTACAGAGTCTGCTGCTCGTATTTTCCAGTCTATACAACAAGAGAGAAAACAGTTTATCTCTGGTTTTACTCATCTATAGGCAGTAGTTACTTAGTTGTTTATGTGACCATTTGCACATCCAAAAATGGTGTGATTTTGGTTGATTTATTGTAACCTTTTTCGATAGCAATGTTGTAATTGGATTTTGATTTGGTAAGTGAGCCATTTTGGAGATAATATACCTGAAAATTACCTTATAATTATACTGGCAAATGTTTTTTCTTCCTGGTGTTGTATACTGAAAGTGAGCATCTTTGTTAAGTGCTCATATGTGTTATAGTTCGTCGTTATTTGTTCACATACGTTGAGGTGGTATTCCTTTCAGATGTATTTAGTCAAGGGTAGGCTTTTCCTCTCTTAATATTTGATTTAAGCTTATACTCGACTCCCCAGATTTGTGGAGCTCTTACTTGCTCGTAGAGTAGGCCATCTAAAGATCGTTTTCCTCCATATACTTGAAGAGTTCAATGGTTTGCGCCACTGTGGGAGTTGGTCGTGATTTTATTGGTATCAGTTTATCAGAGTGTCGAATGCTGTTGAAGCTTATGCTGCGGTCTCTCAAATGTCTCGCAACACCTGTGTCAGATATTCTGAATATGTTGTCGTCCTTGTACTATGGTATTTTTGGAGGATTCAATCAATATTTCTGAATTTTTTGAGGATTTGACAAGAGTTGTAGAGACATTTTTGGAGGATTCAAGCAATACAAGTCGGAAGTAAACAAATCTGCTGAATCCTTTCGTCAACTTAAGGGCCAATTTGAAAAGCCACATCAGGTGGTGCGAACATGATATTGCCCCTAGCCCATTGTCGATGGTTTGGTTTTTCCAAGTAACTTCAAGGAAATAGTACTTTGATTTATCCAACCGCTAGCTCTGAGCATCGTGTAATAAAAATAAAAATAGTCGAATTGAAAAGAAAAATTGCTTCTGAAGGAGCTGAATACATTCTAATAATACTCCAAAAAATTATGGCATATTCGACATTATCATACAATGGACCTTGCTCTTGTATTTGCAAAAATTGGATGTCTTGACTTGCTTACAAATCTAAGAACCCAACTTCATGAATTTTCCAAGTGAGAACTGATGATATGTCCAGCTCTTCAATATCTGATGAATCGTTAGATAAGGAGTTTTTTCATGATTACCCAGGCGAAAATATTTACCTGCCTGTACCCATTTACAAAATACGTCCCTTGAAAAAGTATACTATAATTCCATTGTGCGATTAATAACACTGCTAACTGAAACATTGTTTTTTTTTTTTTTTTAAATTTCTAAATTGATTTTCATTTCTGGTTAACCAAATGTTCCAAAGGAATTTAATTGTGTTTCACGCATAAGAACCTGAATGTTGGTACATGTTAGTCAAAAAATTACTAAACATAATGAACTATATATTGCGTAGAAAATTCTATGTTATAAACTAGTTATAATATGTTATTTATCCTCTTTTCACATTGCCAATATATTTTTTGTGAACTGATGGATTTGAATTTAATATAATGGCAGTGTAATAAATAATAGTAATTTTTAATAACTGATTACTGATGAAGTGATTATAGCAAGTGTAAATTAATAACCTAGAAAATAAAAATAAATATAACATGTTATAATCAATATTTAAGCTACATGCATAGTGCAGTAAAGTATTTTTAATCACTTTGTAAGAATTAAACCCACGGAAACAGAAAAAAGAATCTTTCCCGCGCGGTCCATTTCTATTATAACTAACTAACCGCTTAACTCCGCTGGACTCGAAGAGAAGCTCAAGTGGGACTAAGATTTTCTATTTTCTTCAGTGCATTCTGCCATTACTCTCCATTTGTTTCTCTCAATCATTCTTAGGTATGCCTATCTCTCTTCCAATTCTTTACCTATAATTTCTGTTTTTTGCTTGCATTTAACAGAAGTCTTATTTCTGGGTTTTTGGTTTTTTAATCTGGATTTCTTGTTTCGGAATGAAAATTTCAGGACTTTTTTGTTTAATTCACGCATGAAAAGCATTAATTATAACTAGTTTTTTTTTAGTTACAGTTAGTGTATGATATCACTAGTCTTGAATATGAAAGATGATCTTGTTTCATGTGTTTTTGGTTTTGTAATCTGGATTATTTCTTGCAAAGAATGAACATTTCTGAATATTTTGATTAATTCATACATGCAAAGTATAGTTACAGCTAGTTTTTTTATAGTTACAATTAGTGCATGATATCACTAGTCTTGAATATGAAAGATGATCTTATTTCTTGGTTTTTGGTCTTGGTTTTTGGATTTCTGCTAAGAATGAAAATTTCTGAAATTTTTGATTAATTCGTACATAACAGTTATAAGCTAAGTTTTTTGTTACAATTAGTGTATGATATCAATAGTTTTGAATATGAATGAAGATCTTTAATCTCCCATGAGTACTGCTACTTCTTGAATGTTCTTCTTTCTAGGAATTTGCTTTCTATATTTGCTTACTTTGCACTATTATTTAGGCATTCTTCTACAGAAAGCTTTATTTTTCTGAGAAGAAGTGTATTCTAAAGCTTTTATTTGTTGTCTGTTATTTCTTTCAAAGAAGCTCAAGTGGGACGACATTGTTTTTTCTTCTTCAGTTACATCCCACCATTACTCAACAGAGCCCTCTGCATTTGTTTCTCTCAGATATTCTTCTTTAATTTCTAGGTATGCCTGTCTCTCTTCCAATTCTTTACTGTTTTTATACATTAACAAAAATCTTATTTTATGTGTTATTGGTTTTGTAATATTGTGAAGAAATGAACATTGAAGAATTGTTTAATTAATTCATACATGCAAAGTGCAGTTATAACGACAGTAGTTTTTTTTAGTTAGTGCATGATCACAAGTCTTTAATATGGAAGATGCTCCTATTTCTTGCTTTTCGGTTTTGGATTTTGGATTTCTTGGGAAGAATGAATATTATGAGTTTTTTTGTTATTGATTCGTACATGCAATTTGCAAAGTACAGTTATAGCTAGTTTTTTATAGAAAAACAAGTAGTGTGTAACCAGTAGTCTTGATAAGATGATCTTATTTCTGGGTTTTTAGTTTTGTAATCTGAATTTCTTGCAAAGAATGAAAATTTCTGAATCTTTTTGATTAGTTGATACATGCAAAGCACAGTTATAACTAGTTTAGTTTCTTCAATTAATTACAATTCGTGTACATCAGTGGTCTTGAATATCCTTCTTTCTGGGAATTTCCCCTCACTCGTAGTACTGCTACTTCTTGAGCATGATTCTTTCTGGGAATTTACTTTCTGTATTTGCTTACTTTGCACTATTAGTTAGGCATTCTTATACAGAAGCTTTACTTTTCTAAGAAGAATTGTATTCTAAAGCCTTTTTTGTGTCTGTTATGTCTTTCTACTGCTACTTCTTGAATATTCTTCGTTCTGGGAATCTGCATTTCTTCCATGAGTCTCTGTATTTGCTTACTTTATACTATTAGTAAGGATTTATTCTATAGAAAGCCTTGTTTCTCTGAGTTGGATTTTTTTTTCTTGCATCTCTTCTTAGTTTGCTTGAAGTGGGAAATGGAGTCAACTACCTCTTCTTCGTCCTCTACTGGTTTACGTGCTCGTGATTCAAGTGTTGGTACTTTGGTTGAGCTTGAGAAGTTGGGGTCTAAATTGCAATTGCAGATGCTAGAGATGGAAAAAAATGCCAACGAGGTGCTAAGCGGACTTTCGAATTACATCGCATTTCTCCTGTTATATGCCATGGGAGGCATAATAGTATCAAACAAGCTTAACTGCTGGAGTGCAACATTAATTATGTTTGTATTGACCATTACCTTCACAGTAGGTGTGGTATTCGCTATGAAAGTGGCAAACTTGAAGCTAGAAAGGCTGGAGGGACCAGTCGAGGAATTGAATAGGAAAAAGAAATTTTTGGTTGAAGAAGCACGCCCTATTGCGGACTTGGAGAATAAGAGGATCTCTAAGGCAGTCGAGGATGAAGAAGGTGTCACACTAAGTATGGTGAGGTCTGAATCCGTTCTTTCACGGATCGAGACGCTCACTAGTTCGAGGGACATGGCGACATTTGCTAGCATCAATCAAGAAATGATATGCTATATCATTTTTTGCGGAATAATGTACCTCGTGATTGTGGGCATATTTTTCCTCTTCAACAATTGTAGTTGAGGGGTGAATTGATATGAAAAGTACTATGTGCCGGAGAGATCACGTAATAGCCTTAGCTGTTTTCACTAAACTTAGTAGCTATAGAATTGTGTTGCTTCTAAGTAGTATTTTTTGACAGAAGCTTGTAACTAGACTCTGATGTTTCAAGTAGAGTACTTTTACTTTCATGCTTAACTAGTAGTACAAAGTAAGCAAAAAGAGAGAAATTAAAGGCTATCGTTTCATTCTATATGTCCCTTTTGACTAATGACCTAGTGTGCTTGAATATGTTGTCAAACTACCCTATCTGATAATATCATAATGATGCACATATTTCTTAGTATCATTGGAATAGGTGTTAGCTTTGAGGGAAAAGTGGTAGGACACTATCCGCCCTTTCCTAAACACATGTATTTATAGTATGACGACAGGGACTTCAACTAATATTCTGTAAACTGATCACCACTGCTCATTAGATAGAGTATGTAGGAAGACTGCATATCAGTCACATTGCAACGTCTTTAAGTTGGTAACAGCTTACCAGCCGAGCTGAAAGTGCTTCCTCATGATCATTACATTTTCCCATTAATCCTGACAAAGGTAATTAATATGCTTGTCACAATGATGACTATATTAGTGAAATCAACTGTGACCAACTCCGAACCCTTCCATCATGCAGAACTTGAAGCACAAGTATTGTTAAACACAAAAAGGATGCGCCCTCATGCTAGCCAAAATGTTTATCTCTATGTACAAATCTTAGGGATTTAAATACCAAATTTGGATACAAAAAGGATGCGCCCTCATGCTAGAAATCACAAGAATTTAAATTCTATTGATTGTTAGCAAATGTGGCAAAATCCTTAGTGATCACTGCCGCGGCGTACGCAAGACTTTTTATACGCGGTGTCATAATTTGAAGAAAATAAATAAATAAATAACTTATTGTAGTTGTAAGTGGTGTCATTTTCTATATTTATCCCTAATATTTTTATTTTTCTTATACATAAATATTAAAAAATTCGACGAAGCGGTGTCCCGTGACACCGCATAAGATAAGGTGTATACGCCCCTGATCACCGTATTTATACACAATTAGAGATGACAAAGTGGTTAAAAGAAAA